GTAGGGAGGTATTGTAAAGTAAAGCTTTAATGGGTCATCCCTAATAACCTAATCCTGTCGAGTTCAAGTTAGGTTTACCCTGTAAAACTTTAACACTCCCATGCTGTGTGATTTGAATAGACGCTATTATTCATATTCTGGGTGTGGAGTTGGCCCCAATCTTAAGAGGAACTGCAGATATCTGACTTGAAAAATGGCCAAGACTAAGTGTGATGCATCGCAGAAGAAGCAAGATTAGCTGTTATAGACAGATGGGGATGGGGTATTCTGGAGCCTAGAAGCAAAACACAGCAGGGTCAGCAGAGGTCAGGGCCTTTCTAAAGGAATCGGGGCTTGGATTTCTTTCGGCTGAACTGCCCTTGTTGTTTGGTTTTCCCCGCCGAAATGACTGTCTGGAAATAATCAAACAGAACAGTTGTGATGGTTGGAGCAGGAATAATAAAAGGATGTAGTAAAAACGGAAATAAATCGGGGGGGAAATGAGGAGTGGGGCAGAGTTGAGGAGGGAGTGGCCAGTGGAAGTGGGTCACAGGGGCAGTGACGCGATCCAGAGTGACGTGCTGAAAGGCGCATGGACTTGCGCCACTCTGTGCCTCACCTTGTCCAGTACACACACACACACACACACACACACACACATACATACATCTTAAAGTCTGCAGACTGTTTACTACTAAACTGAGCATATTCTACATCTTTTTCTAATCCTTTAGGCAGCACATAACACTACGTTGAGCTTAAACCAGACTAGAAGAAACATCACCCTCAGTGTTGGGTTGTACAAACCAGTGCAAGTAGGATAAGATAAGCATTTTATCTCAACAGTGCAGCTCTGGTATGATCAGAAGCCGTTCCTGAGGAGTTGTTGAGAGGGAAAAGACGCGACGCTTGAGGGAGCGAGGAGTGACGATGGGGCCGAAGGGAACAGTTTAATTTCCTCACTCTTCTTCCTTCAGGATGACTCTGGAGCCCTGGTGTTAAAGACTGGCAGGCCGTTGCATTCTCCCTGCAGCTGCGTGTGTGTTTTGGGAAGAGCTGGACTCTCCCGCACACTCAGATTTAAGGGCCGGCATCCTGCATGTTTTAGTTCTCTCCCTGGTTTAACGCACCTGGATCAAATAATGGCTCATTAGAAAGAACATTGACATGCTGAAAAGGTTGCTGCTACCAACAGGGAGAGAACTAAATGTGCAGGATGCTGGCCCTCGAGGACCGACTTTGGGCACAGGGGAGTTTTGCAGGTGTAGAGCTTAGTCATGGGCCAGTTAATGGTATAAAGCTAGCTGAAAATTTAAAAAATGTAGCTTCAAATGAGATTTGAAGCAACTTTAAATGAGAAACCGATGGAGAAACAGGAGTTTTTCCCCCCACTTATTTTCAACATAAAGAATTCAGCCCTGCTTTCTCCCCCCTACTACTTCACACTGCTAGCTAGTTAGCCACCTATCAATCTTAATGTTTTTAGCATTGGTGTTAGCAAGGTAAGAGCAACAGACAGATCTAATGTCACTCGTAGCTTGCTGTACGTGTCACTTAGCCCAACTAATTAACCAGTACAGGCCTGTTGTACTTGTGTTTCTTTATAAAGACATATTTATAAAAAAGGTGGACTATTCTACACAATATACTGTTAATAAAAACTGTTAAATTCAGTTTTTTTATGTTTACTCGTCTTTCATGTCTAAAAAGTCATGAAAGAAATTCAATAGATAACATTATTATAACTGCAAAAATCTGTGTAATTTATTTTTAATATTTTCTGTAAATGCCATATGATAATGAAAATAATGTATTTTTACTCAGTGTTATCATGCCATGACATTCCCAAGCCTAAGTTAAGCCTACAGGGTAAAGAAACATCTCTGATGCTGCTAATTTTCAAAAAACACTTTCACACATGTCAAAACTCTGTAGTTGTTCCTGTGAAACAAAAGTACATTCACTTTTCTTTTGTTTGATTCTATAACTTAAATTAAATAGGGTGACGTTTAACCACTCTATTTAGTGTGTTTATCTCCGCCCCCCTCCCTTCCCTCCGTCTTTCGGAGTCCTCCCCCGTTGTTGTGTGAGCGTGCTGTAGATGACTGAAGACCGAGGAGCCTCCGTCCTAATCGGCTTGAGATCTGGCTGCAGGTCAGGCCAGCAGATGACTGCAGATTAGAGGGTCACAAGGCAGTTAGAGAGGATTACCAGCTCTGGGCAGTCTAACCTCCTGCTGTAGGTGTCCAGCCGATGGCTGCCAAGCTGCACTGGCTCTCCATAAAAAACCAAAGGTTTTCTGCTTTGACTCGCAGGACTAAAATGCAATGGCTTAGAATGGCCTAGTCAAAGTGTGGACCAAATGTATTTGAGAACCAAAAGCAAGACTTTGAAGATGGACGATCTCAATCCAGTCTGAGTGAGCTCGTGTTACTTCACAAAGAAGAATTGTCAAAAATTGCAATCGCTACATGAGCAACCTCAAAAGACTTTTAACCGCAGCAAAATGTTTCTGTACATAAGTCTTTACCCAACAAATTAAAACTTAAATGGCACACTTTTCACATTTGTACTGGTAAAACAGTTTGGTTTAATTTTCCTTCCACTTGACAGTCGATAAGATAAAATACCAACAAAAATCTTTGAAGACTTCAGGATGTGTGGGGTGTGAATATTTTAGCAAGATGCAGGAGACGAGACTATTTTTCTTCTATTTTTCTAATTCATTATGTCGTAAGATTTTGAGACAACCATCTCATATTTCTTTCATATCGGGGGTGCATCGATTGCAGTTTTCTGGCTGATTGTTGATTACTGATTTTTAGAAACCCTCACCGACCAACCAATTTAGGCCAATCCAATAGTGATTGATTTTTAGACCTTTGCCAAGGTAGATAAGATCAGCTTCACATGTAAGTATCCAATCACCAATCTCCCAACATTAATGAAATTGGCGCCCATAAGTCGATAAATTGGTGCACGTCTACTTCCGAAAGGAAAATAAAAACGTACCAATTCTGACTCATGCTTGGTATATAATGTCTATCTCACCTCACTGATGGATAACATTTGTCGTCACTTTGTTGCATGAGTGTACCCTCTCTGTCCCACTGCAGTCCTTTGTGTGTGTGTGTGTATGTAAGTGTGTGTGTGTTGCAGAAGTGTGCGCCTCCTCGTAACTCAGCTTTTATCTCAATAAATTAAACAAGCCTTTTAGACAGCGGGCTCTGAGCCGCCTGCCGAGTCAAACTGCACCTCTCCCTCACATGGCTCGTATCCTCCAGCTTGAACTCAGTAAACCTGATCCAGGTTAGCACAGAGTGCTGCTACGTAAGGACGACCCCGGTTGTGCGATAATTCTGTCTTTTTGATATTTAACAAGCAGTACAAAAGACATGCAGGCGACTCAAAGGCTCTGGTTCAGCAGAAAAAATAAAAAAAAGAGTAAATGTTTGTTCATGTCAAGCTGCATTAAGTTTATTTGGCTCATAGACTGCGCAACAAATGGCTAACAGCTGCAAAAAGACATTAAATCTTTTCCAACTCGAATGGTTTTGTTTTGTTGTTTTTTTTTAAGGGCTGAAAGACAGAATGAGATCGAAAACAGGATAAATGTTTAATGAGAGGTTTTATGTAGTTTTGTTTGAGAAAACTTGACCTTTCTTTTTCATTCTTGTTCGTTTTTGCTTAAGACTCAACAGCTGATCAAATAGCAGATCAATGAGTAAAAAGTAGGGGATGCACCAATATGAAAATCCGGTAGTGTAGCTATTATAAGCAATGTTTACAGATATTAATTCCTCACCCTTTTAACACCATGAAAACATAACTGCACCAATGATTATGCTTCTCTGCTTCAGTTAAACACCGTGCACAGCATCACTATCCCATCTCCAATCAAATGCCACAGGCCAGTCCTCTTCACTCCCCTTCTCCTCCAAAATCACGTAACTAATGGCAACCAAATAGAAACAAACATGGGTTACAAATATTGACTGATCAGGGGTTCCTGAAACCCTTGAAACTTGCACGACTATAACACTAGGAATGTAAGGAAGTGGTCGCAGGAAGCTGAAATAGGCCTTTAGGGTACTGATTGGATTGCTCTTTGCCAGCCACATAGAGAGGAGATCAGTGCCAATCTTACTTTCCTTTGTAAGGAAAGTACAAAGGAAAGTACTTTTTACTCATTGATCTGCTATTTACTTATGAAAAAACTTATTGAAGTTTTGAACACTTCAATAAGCTGAACAGCACTTTACATAGTTTGTTGACATGGGTCAATAACCTAAACAACAGATTTAAAACAATAAATATCTTTGCCGATGAGCTCATTTGTCTATTTATTCAACAATGATTATTTTGTCATTGCATGATTAATTGTGATTCATTGCAGACCCTGCAGTTAACTCAATTTAAAATATGTAATCAAGCAATAATACATTATAATTGACTCCTCAGAAAAGCTCTTTGTGTAGAATTAGTGTGGCATTAGGTCTTTTTCTAGATTCGTATGTATTTTAAATCCAAATTAAAGATGCAACATCATTTGTTGCTTCTGTACCATAGAATGTAATTTGATCACTTTATAAAATAAGAGCTGGAACAAATGGCTCATAATATCCAGTCACCTTAGTTTTGAGTCAATTTTGATACTGTGTTGGTTCTAATGACATTCGAAAACAGAAAAAGTTAAGTATCCCTTTTTAAGCCGGCTGAGTGGTGGTATATAATAACGGGTAGACTGGGGGAAAAGTCAAAGTCCGTTTAATTCAAGTTGATCTATTTTGAAACTAAAAGGTCAGCTCTCTGTTTTTTTGTTGTTGTTTTTTTCAGTCTTAGACTGAACCATTTGGAGAGCACTCTTGCAGAAAGACTTTTCTTGTTGTCGTTTTCTTCTTCTTTTTTTAAGTCTTATTTGCGCATCAACCTTTTTCTGCCCCACTGGCCCGCCTGTCTGCCTCTCGTTTCCGCTCCAGGTCTTTGAAATGCTAATCGCTTCTTCTCCGTCTCGTTTTCAGATTCCTCCTCCAACTACATCAGGCAGCTGGAGACAAAGGTCCGGATACTTGAGGACGACAACAACAAGCTCCTCTCTCAGGTGAGACGCAGACACGCAACATCTCCCCTACGAGCCCCGTCAGGATTTCACCAAAACTCAGCCCAAAACGTGCGATCGGTGGCTGCGATGACATAACGCGCTCGCCCGATGCCTCTGCGAATACGTCCCCTCACAACGGGCCGAGGCTTCTTAGCTGCAGAATATGTGTACCCATGTTTAATTCATAGGGAGCCTGTAATCTGCAGTTGCGAGCAGCGATCTTAGCCCCAGCTGTTATAGAAGCTGGGGAAGTGGAAGAAAGATGAGAGGAAGAGGTAAAAAAAAAAGAAGAGGGGAAAGCTTTAAGTGACAGTGACTGAGTAAAACTTTATCCACCCCATCTTTCTCCTCCAACGTTGACCTCGTGGTGACTTCCCCCCCCCAAAAAAAAAAATTCAGAGGATTAAATGTGTGGAGCATGAAAGAGTGAGGAGATGGAGGAGGTGGAGGGGGGGTACAGCAGTGTGGTTCACCAGGAGGTCACATGTCAGTCTCCAGAGGAGTGTGTTTATCCACACTGCACTAAAAACCCAGGCTCTAATTAGCCCTTCAGGACGGGGGATGAAAGTTTGCAACATTCAAAGGACAAATCATTAATTATTGGGATAGATGTCATTAAAAGATAGAGACGAGCATTATCATTTCATCAGAAGGTTTTATGATGTGCGGCAGCTCGTTTGAATGCCAGCCAGACTGCAGACAGTCAAGCTGAGGTTGAATTTTCCATCCTGAAAACCCTTTCACTCCTTTTTTTTTTTAAATTAATTTTTTTTTTTTACACCAACTCCTCTTTCAGTAGTGACGTCCCAGCAGATTCCTGTGTCGGCTGGAGTCACCGTTGCCAAACGAGACCTACAATTAGTTCCTAAATGTTACAATTAGGTGATCCACGTGAGGCAAGAAGAAGGAATAATAGAAGGCTCCTCTTTTTTTGTTTTTTTTTAGCTGACATTTGGCGAGTAACTCACTCAGAGCCGTGGACCTTTTCCACATAAAAACCAAAACCAACAGAGAAAGGTAAATAGTTGCCAAGTGAGACACAATTGGAAGCTTTAAAAAGAGAAACATTTCCTGCAGTCGTAGCCGCATTGCTAGCATAACTCGACTAGCTTTGCAAAGCTACAAAGTGACATTTCTTGTCTCTTCTTCCTCGCAAAACATCTCAAACTCAATGGGATTGGAGGGAGGGAATCTGTTTTGAAGCCTGGCAACAGATTTTCTATTAGCTTTAGGTTTTGACTTTGGTTAGGCCATTTTTAACACAGATATGTTTTATGCTAAAAGCTATTTGGCTATATTTTTAGTACTATTGTCTGATGAAGGATGAACCTCCAGCCCAATCTTTAGTGTCTGTAGCTTCCAATAGATAATTCCTGTCTTAGTTGGAGGGGGAAAAAAACGGCCCCACAACATAATGTTGCCACCACCATGCATGATATATAAAATTGAAATTGCTATGTCACCTTTAAAAATCACTGACTTCAGCTGAAAACTGCAAGACCTCACAGAAAGTTGTTGGGATATTGTTATAAATTAAGCAAAGCAACCATAATCAGTAACTCCACCACAATTTTCAACAATTTTATGGCAGTTATTTGTTTGCCTAATTCCACGGAGCCCTGGTATTGACGAATGTTCTTTCTTTCTATATCAGTTAGTGAGTCAAAAAAAACTTCCGAATCATTTTTCACAATTGCCCTCTGGTGTTGGTTCGTCATGTAAAACCCTCATGAAACACGGTAAAGTCTGTAGTTGGAGCATGACAAAATGTGGAAAGGTACAAGGTCTTTTCATTACACAACCAGAAACTAATGACGCAATAAATCTTTTCACGTTGTGTTTTCTCTCTCTAGGCCCATAACCGCTATAGCTTATCACAGATACAGATGAAAAAGGTAACCTTCAGAAATCTTCCTGAATGTTGGCTCTGCCGCTCACCAGCTCTTGGGGCTTCTCTCCTTTAACTCCTGCAAGTGTTTTGGTGATGGGACTTTTCGCAGCTTTTAGCTTGAAACTTTCTACTTCCTAACGGACGGACACAAAGCAACAGATGTCAGTACTTTATTTATTCTTCCCCTAATCAGCCACGGCTCCACTAATGTTTTTTTGGGGGGGAGGGGCAGAAGGGTATAAAGTTTCTTCCATCCGCTAGATAAGGTTTGCAGAGGTCATCTACGCCTGATCTTGTCAAACACATACAGAACAACAAAACCCCATCCTTGACAAAGATGCAGTGTTTGTGTGATTCACCAATTACTCACAGCACTTCGTCTGTCATCACACAGTCGACCTGTGCAACAGCGTGTAAAACCGGTTTCATTTAATAAGGTGGTGGAGGAAATCCACTTGACTCATTTTGTAAATGCAAATTTGCAACTTTTTTTCTCGGCTGAAGTGGAGGGACGTAGAACGGAGCAAGCCCCGTCGAAGAGCCTCCCTGAAATCTGTAAAACAAAGCAGGACGTTGGCCAAAGAAAATGTTATTTTCCTGTTCTGTGTGTCTCACTGCTTACATTTCTTGGAATTAAGAAAAGCAACCACACCTTAGCAGATTACTGTAAGGAGTTGGCGTTGCATGTAGTTTTTCTGAAGTGCTGCCCGTGATTTTTAGCTTTCTTCTTTTTGCGTAGGGTTGCCTCTGGATCTCTTTCTTGGCGCCGTCATTCTTTGACTCCCTTTAGCCGTGCAAAGTTGTTTCCCTGCAGTGGAAATGTAAACCTCTGTCTGCTAGAGCGTCCAAAAAGGGCAGAACATATTTGAGGACACAGATGCAAGAATGAGGGTTCAAAAATAAGACAAAACTAAATTAAAATTAACTTTTCAGCAAGATGTATAATATTGATGGAAAAAGTGCTAGTTTCACTGGCAGACATTTTTCTTATAAGTGAAATTAATTACTTTTTCCATCAATATTAGGGAATTATTGACTTAAAACAAGCTCATATATCTTGCATGAAAATTACTTTTAAGTTAATTTTCTCTTATGTCAAGTGTCAAATATTTGTACTAGAAACTGAACCAAGATTGCTTGATTAAGATTTTGTTGTTTTTGCAGTGTAGCAGAAGAAAAAAAAATCAACATCAATTTATGTCGCCCTGGAACAGTATGCACAATTTGGAGGTGTGTGCGCTAATTCCACAGCTACTTGAATCACTTCACTGTTTCTAATTCACTCTACAAGACTTCTTCTTCTGTAGCCTGCAGAGACATGTGGTCTTAGTCCACTTGTGATTCGTAATTCTTACACATCTTCTTGCTTTTAAGGATAATCTCTTTTTATACATTCAATCCACGGTAAAAGTCGAGTTTCATGGCATTATGAGCAGGGACGCATTTAAAAATGTAACATGGAAATCAATGGTAGATCCTTTCTAAACCTTGAATAAACCACTTCCTGTATGAATGCACCATGTGCATTCATACAGGAAGTGTATGAATGCACTAGCAGGTATAATCTAGAAGGTTGCGAACATCAATTTCCCTTGTCAAACGTATCGACCTGAGATTGCTGTTCTCTAACAAACAGAAGTGTTGCTTCTGTGTCCAGTCCTCTCTATGTGCCTCTTGCATGTTGCGCTTATGACTCATACCGGTGGCCCTGCTGTACATATGTGGCTTTTAATGGGTAGAAAAACCTTCGTCTGTCCCTGGATCTGCTCTGCTCTGTACTGTTGTCCCCAGGCGAACGAACCCTGCATCGTGCTTTGGTGCGTAAACCACACTGGCTTGTTCTTGCTTGTCGAGACGTCTGGTGGGCTGAATTATTGAACATACGGGGCCAACACAGGTGGATCTGTGTATGCATTATGCATGGTTGACAACTGGTGTGTGTGTGTGAGTGTAACTGAATAACAGAAAAATGTCCGTTCGAAGATAAGAAACTCGTGCGATTTAAAAGTGGGAGACTTCTTTGAAAGAGAGGTGAACCTCTGGATCTTTTGCATGTCATCTTGATGAGCAGCTGGAAATGCTGTGTTGGATTTGTTGACTCAGTGGACCTATTGCCTAACTTCCTGAACAATGGAACAGGCCCATTAAAACTTGAGTGCAGCTAAAACGGAAAACAAAAGCCTCTTATTTCAAGAATGTTGACCATCCAGACCAGTGTTACAGAGAGATGTCAGAGGGACTGTAGAGGAAGGTACCAAAAGAGAACAGGTGTAAGAAAATGGAAAACGTAGATGCATCCAAAAATTGCTTTTTGGCTTTTCTCACAGAGAACTGGAGCACGGACACTCAGACTCTTCATCCTCAACATTTTTGATTGCTGGAAAAAACACTGACTAAATATTTCAGCTTCGGCAGATTCAGATGGTAGCCCTAACATCTGCAAGGGTCTTTACACCATTTGTGATATGTGGAACCTTTCTTTGTCAAAAAATATACGATTTCTTATATTTCTCAAATTATGACTAAAGTCTGAGGTCCTCTCATTCTAGGGAACTCTGTATTGTGAGCAGATATATCATCACACTCCACTCCAGAGGACTGCAGGATCGAACGTTAGATGTCAATGATTGTCAACTTATTTACTAACAGAATTACTATGTGCTTAATCTGTTAATTAAGCTATAAAGCTGAAAGAAAAAAGTCTAAGATTTCAAAAAAGACTCGGACAGCACCTATCATTTTGACAGTTTTTCTGTTTTGACAATAAAGTACATTTTTTTCAGTTTTTTTCAATTCAGGTTTAGTTCCCATATCTGCAAAACTAACCTCAGCTGATTGCTGATTTTCTTAAAGATACAAGCACGATTGTTCCTGTAAGTAGCGCGTCCCCATGGTTTTTGATTTTGCCACACTTAGCACCCGCTTCATTTGAGTCGAGCTTCTCATTAGTTGTAGACGGCTGAAAAAGAATCAAACCTTTCTCGTCGCTGTCCTTCCCGCATCACTCCTGCCCTTCGTCACTCAAAGGGGGGAATTGATGGCCGACGTTCTCCGCTTCAGCCTGTCACCTCCAAGAGCACGGTGATGGATGGATGGAGTGAAGAAAGACCCTGAGTTTTATTTATCATCTGCTGTCAAATATCTTTATTGGCCTAAATAGTCAAGGTCAGAGCGTCCTTGGAAGTAAAGCCAGGTCGATCTGCTGGGTTTGTTTTAAAAGATTCCCATGGAACACACCGCTTTCCTTTCTTACCAATTAGATTTAGGTGAAGTGATTTTATGTAACACGTGTTTATCACTTTTCTTCATCTGACATTTCGAGGCTCTTGACGGAGCCCAGAGTAAAACGTTGTGGGCTTGAATACAAAAAGCTACAAAGGGTAGATCAAGCAGTGCCAAGGGAAAGATTAGGAAAGGTTAGAGAAATGCCACAGAGCAGAGAAGAGGTACGGAATGCCGATTACAGGTTTACGCACGGAAAACTTAAGTGAGTGCGCACCTGAGTGTTTTGCTTGAACAGTGATAAAAAACAAGACAAAAAACAACCTTTGTAGCCCCCAAGCCTCTCGTGTGATTTATGAAAAAAAAAACAAAAAAAAAAACACGCCTCACACACGGGAGGGGGGAGAAACAGCCGTGCATGACATTAAAAATGCCACAGAGCCGTGATCCTGCCAACAGCGCCAACAGGAACGGGTCGTCTCTGGGCTGCTTAATGAGGACAAAATCTTAAGAGCACTCCTCTTTTGTACATTGTGACCGTACATGAGGGCACAAAGTGATCCTGCCCACATTTCAGTGTGGTGAAGTGTCATTAGCTCAGGGAGCAGCTGATGAGTAGAGCACAGGTGGTGTCGTTGGAAGGGAGACCACAAGGTACACAAATGGTTTTGGTCTTTTACAGCTAGTTTTTGAGGACTAAGGTTGCATTATGTTTGTATGCCTTAGATCTAGGATTCTTATTTTATGAATACAGCACACCTGTTTATTTAATTTGTTTGGATAATGTATGACATTTAAAAGTCTTAAAGAAGGTGCTGGAAATTTTCTCCTCTCCAGTTTGCACATTCATATTAAAAGTAATTTTCTTGCCAACTTTTTCAGGCCTGGCAGTGGACAATTTTGTACCAGCCATTCATCAAATCAGGAGGTTTTGTAATCACTTAAGCTGCCAGTTATCCAAAATAATTTGTTGTTTGATCATAATCTCATAATCAAGTGAAGGTCTATGCTCCACTTACTAAGTGTGCAATATAAAATCTTTGAAAAATAACATGCAATCAATGTTTGATTTAAATGGATTTTAATAATTACTTCTAGAATTCATCAAAATGCTTAGTGAGATTTTATTTTGATGCACTGTGGCACTGAATTGGCAACTTGTCGGGATAAAATCGGGGTACCAACTGGTGAAGGAGCAAAGATGTTTGATTCAGTCCTCACTTTTCTTTTTTTCTTTTTTTTTTTTTTTTTAGCATCGGATTCGTTTTCGTAGTCCTCTTGATTTTTTGAGTTGTTTTCCGGGCATTCTGGCATTTCTTTTGCCTTTTTACTGTTTTTTCCACTCATTTAGTCCAGGCTGCGACCGTTTTAAGAGAATTAATTTTCTTATAGTTGTTGTTGAGTCACTTAACTCTCGTCAGTGAGTCATTCAGACAGAAAGAAAAAAGCTTTTGAAACTCGAGATAAGCACTACGTAACCAGCATTGTGTCAAAAGATGTAGTTTGCTCCAGTTTATTTAATGGATTATATTTGGGTAGGTTCTGTGTCGGATCTTTGCAGGAATTTTCTCTTTGTTTCTTTGATATTTGCTGTAGATGTTTTTTTTGTTTTTGTTTTTTTTTTCACCAACTTATTGGTGGTATCTCTTGAGACTAAATTTTGTTTAAAAGTGTACCTCACACTTCAACTACCTCATTTATGACAGTTCAAGGCAGCCAAGTTGGGAAGAAAGCATTTGAAAGCTGGTCGTTAGCGACGCATAATCAGGTTTTCTCTGGCCGCCACCAGCTTCTGTTTTTCTCCATTTTCTGAGGTCTGGACTGCAGATATTGATTTTGACTGATTCCAATTTGACATTCTGAAGATTAATAAATGTGCAGCAGGTTCTTGGATGGAGGAAGGAGTTTGAATCCAAAGGGTACATGCAAAAAGTACCAGATTTCCTGCTCGTATATCGGATGCCAGAGGTTTAGAACCATTTTTTAAATTTCACCCCGAAAAAAAATTCTGTTGATGCATTCACATAGCAAAACTAACACGAGTTCTCATTTCTGATGCATTCAATGATGAGAGGAAAAAAATATTACACACTTCCGTGTTTGACCAGTCAATAATCAATAAGGGCTGATCAAGGACAAACTGTCCATTCTGATCTCTTGCCACTTGATCTGCCCTTCTCTACAGTTAATTATATCTCAAAGCGTTACAAAAATCAGAGATCAAAATTTGGCGTTATTCTCTTTGGTGCATCCCTGCGAATAATTAAATGTTATTTCCACTTTCCTCTACCCTCCCAAGTTGGTTATTTTGGTCCATTAGGAAGCATTACAGTTTGGTTTCATGCTAATTTCCATTTCTCGGCATTGACGTCTTTTATCTCTCCTGTCGTTTTGTGGTTGATGTGTGTGTATGTGTGTGTGTGTCCGTTTCGTGCCTGCGTGTGCGCAGCAGTGCAACCCGGGTGACCTCCGAGCCCTGAGGAAGGGAATGACTCTGTACCACTCCGAGTCCCAGCTGTCCTCGCTGCCCCAGCGCCAGGAGGCCATGCACATGGTCAGTACCGGGAGACACACACTGAGAGAGACCGACACACACTTACCTGCTCAGACAGACGCTGTAACAACAGGCTGTCACTGCCGCGCCGCCTTTTCTGTTCAAGTGCGCTTTAACTCCAGGGTTTCACTTCATACGAAAATAAACTCAGACACGCCTAATTGTTGGGAGGAGGACACTGGTGCCTGAAAATGTGAAATCAAATCAGGTTAGCTTTAATTCACTTTCCTAGAAACTCTTCAATTACGCCCCCGCAGGCAACCTTGCTCTATGTTACTCATGAACTCGATCAGTGGGATGACAGGGCATGGGTCACAGTTTGGTGGAGACAAACTGGAAAAGAGACAAAGAGGCAATAAAAGGAACTTACCGGGAGTCTGAACCCCGTTCTCTTGATCCCATCTCCCGGCCCTTGAGCTTTTCTTTGCCTCCCCCGGAGCCTGTTTGTTCTGAATCCCACTATGAAAGCACTAATCCTCTTCAATCCATCTCTACCTTTGACCCTGCGAGTGTCTGGGGAGGAAAGGCTTGGTAATTGTTTTTCTTAGTCCACTCGAAGGAAAGCCACTGCCCAGAGGACTGGGTCTTTATGCGAGGCAAGGCAATTTTATTAGTATGGCATAATTTGTACACAATTCAAAGTGCTCTACAGGAGCATAAAGGAACGGGGTTCAGAAAATTAAATTAAAAATAAGAAATTCAGTAAAATGCCAATTAATAGGTGTGTCTCGTAGACTAAGATTTTAACCTATCCACTTGTGGATGTTTTACAAATTGACACAGTGAGTGTAAGTGGCGACAGAGAAAGATAATGTTGTACATTGCAAAGAAAATTTGCAGTTTTTAAAAAAATACCTTCTCTTTTTATGTTTTTGTCGAGAGATGGTGACAAAACTGGGTTATGTCCAGATTTTCAACTCCATTATTTTACAAAATGGGAACAAAATGATGAGTTTGGGTCCGTCTTTAGCATCTTATATTGGTGATTTGCACGTTAGCTTGGTTAGCATTACAAAAAAAACCTTGAATATACCGGTGGAGACTGTATCTCTATAGACAGAGACTGATACCTCAAAAACATAAATCAAGCTACATCGTTGTTTTCCGTCCAGCCTTCCTGTTATCTGCTACGAGTCTTGCTCTCTCTCAATCTTTTACAGCTTCTGTTAACCACAGACAAGTCTTAACATTTGGGAGAAAATATAAGTTCTATTTCAGTAGCTTCTTACATTTCCGTGCTTCCTCTGAATAAATTTTTAAATGTGTTGATACTCTGAGCTGGTAGTCCCTGGTAATGGTGCGTTCACTGACTTTAAATAATCTGACTTTTGAGTTTCCAGTCCTCTGCTAGCCTTTCCAATCAAGCTGAAAACCAGTCAGTAGCCTATTTCTCAACACATCTCTTATAAAACCTGTTGCAATTTACATTTGCAAAGCCTAACATCGAAAACAGTGCAAACTTCTGAATGTTTCTTTCAACATAAGCCGGCATCACTACAGAAAAAAAAACAAAGGAGATATAATTAGATCCCATATTTAGCTGAAGTTTATCCATCCATGGAGTTTAATGAACAGACCCGGGACAGACGGGATATTGTGAATCCCATTCACTCTTTCAGCTCCTTCTTTTTACTGTATTTAGGCTTTTGTCTCATTCACACAGTTTCAGGTCAGTGAGCGTGAGTGAGAGAGGGCGGGAGGTTGTCAGGCTAAAAATGATTGGAGAGACGAGAAGGGGTGGGGGAGAAACGGCCTGCATTCATGACTAACCCAAACACATTTTCAGTCTGATCTGATTATGTGTTTTCTCGAACTCCACGCCTCCGATCTAACACTGTTTGGTTAGTGAAGCCGTCCCCAAATGACCGTTCATATGAGCAGTAAGCACCGTCCATCTTCTTCAGGACAGAATAAAGTGAATAAAGTAAAATGTTTTAACTGACTTACGTGTTTGGGAGATCGACAAACCTCTATCAAACTTGCAGAGGAGGTAGCTTAGCTGTTTGAAATATCTAAAACATTCAGGACTTCTGGTTGAGAGCATTTAGAATATTTATTTTGTATTTATCAAAAAAAAAAAAATTTGTCTGTTTTTGTAGAACGTTGAGAACCACCCTTCCTGTTATCTGCCAAAACTCTTGCTCTCTCTGAATGGAACTAGTCAGATCCAGTCATTCACTCTCCAACAGCTTCCACACCAGAGCGTTATTATCATCTCAACAGGGTAGCGTGTGTACACGGTACATTCAGTGGTCAACGCAGGATCGGATTTTTGAAATTCTAGCCATCCTGTTAGCCTTTCAGGGCAGGAGAACTGAAAATCGTCGCATTGTGGTCGCCATCTGATTCCTCCACGACTTTTAATGAATAACTAACATTAGATCAGATAAATTAAGGCATAAAATGTGATCTTTTCTTATACGTTCTTATGAATCTAAAAATTTGCCTTAATAAAAAAGATAATGACCTTTATCTGTGCAAAGAAAACAAATCGACCCCATTCTCCTCTGTTTTTTTTTCCTAGTCTGAAACTACCAAAACAACAGATACAAATCAGTATCCACCTTGTCCGATGTGGAATTCACAGCTATTATTCATGATCAGAACGTTTAGGCATGTTAATGAGTTCGCAGAGGGAGCTGACAAACGCATCACCATCCAGAGCCGGTGGAGCTGCGTCTGATGCTCAGGCCCCGATGCCAGGTCACACTGAATGCCGCCATTGTGCGTCCCTGAGTGCTCCGTGTCCCCTAAACAGAGAGCCACTGTCTGGAGCTACCCGGGGGGGGGGTGAGATGAGTAAAACAAACACCCCGGTCTTCTCCTTCCCGGCTCACCGCTCACATCACAGCAGGTTAAATCACGCCGCTGCAGGTTGCAGACCTGGGAACTGAATTGGAAAAAAAAAAAAAAAAGCCGACAAGGGAGAGAGGTGATTTGAGTTGCGATGAAAAGGATGACATTTTCGGTGCCACAGTAAATTTTTCCCTTTTTTTTTTTTTTTTTTTTTTTTGCCTCTTACTGACCCAGGTGGAAAGAGACGGTGGTGAACCTTGTTTGTTTTGATTGATGCTTCTGTACGAGGGAGTGCGTGGTTTAATCTCCGAGAACGTCCGCCACGTGTTTAGGATGTAGACCCGCCGCTTAACCTTTAGCAGCCGCTCTAGCCGTCGCCGTGTTTCGTTTACCATGACAGTTTGACGACATGGATGTACGGTTGTTGCCTTCCTGCAGGGCACAAACCGTCTGCCAACCAGCGAATCGTCTCCTGCCACCGGCTACCTGTCCTCCATCCAGAAGCCCGAGGCGGTGGTGCACGCCATGAAGGTCGGTTACGTTTAACACTGCAAACACACAAAGTTTCACCAGTTTGGTCTGCTCTAGTGCAAGTAACTTTTTTTTTTTTTTTTTAAAGTACCAGTTTCATTGGCAGATTATTTCACTTATAAGTGGAATAATCTACCAGTGGAATTCTTTTTACTTAAAAAAAAAAAAGCTGAAAAGCTTCTCATAAGTTAGTTTTGTCTTGTTTCAAATGTACGAAGATATTTGCACTTAAAACTAGAACCTAAAAAATATCTAAGATTTTGAATTGATGGGAATGTGGTCATGGGGATGCCTCCTTGTTCAAGTCACAATCTCACAAACCTTTGCTTTTAGTAAAGTTGTGAGCCTCAGTGACACCAGACCTTCTTCTGTCTCTCCGTTAGGTTCTAGAGGTCCACGAGAATTTGGACAAGCAGGCTCCCGAGGACTACGAGGACGATCTGAGTGAGAAAGAGAAGGCCATCGTGCGAGAGATGTGCAATGTAAGTTCAGCTACCTCACGGTGTAAAGTGTTGCTTTGTATCCGTCTGCAAATAACGACCTTTAAATCTCCTTTGTAGATTGAAACTGCAGGGTTTTTCCCGAAGAATTTAGTAATGATTTGTCACTTTATCGCTGACCATCTTAACCGCACCAGCCATGCTTAGTCTGCTTTATTTAAACTCTAGTTGGTTTTCCTGGAAAGTTCGGTGCAAATACATAATCAAACTCTGATCAAAAAAGTGAACCCTCAACCCCTGGTCTCGGTTCGATTAACAAAAACTCCAAAAGCAGGGCATTCTGGGTAAATAGAACCAAAACAAATGTGTATGTCTAGAGCTGGAGAATTTTTTTTTTTTGTGGTGTTTTACCAAAAACAAAAGTGAAATCCTACAACTGCTAAAATCAGACACCACACCATTTTTGTTTACGCTTCATGACAACGGAAGTTGCGCTCACGTTTTCTTCAGACATTAGGTATTATTACTTCAGTAGTTCTTGCTGCAGCGCCTCCACAGGCGAGGAGGTGAACAGCTTTTCTAATTACTTTGGAGCAGTGGTTCTTAGCCTTTTTTGAGGTACCGAACCCCCAAGTTTCATATGCGCATTCACTGAACCCTTCTTATCCCCCCCCCCCCCCCCCCCCCACCCCCACAAAAAAAAATTTTCGGTATTCTT